CTCAGAGACACTCCAGCTTTCCCTCTGCTGTCCCCCGGTGATTAAAGAGGCGGTGGGGGAGCTGACTGCCATTACAGCTTTTTCATAATGCGGCGTTGTCAGCGAGCTCTGGGCCTCTGGGCACGGCTCTGGCAGCCTCATCTCTCTTCCTGGCTGCCGAGGCTCCCAGGCTACTCAGGGAAGGGCAGGCTGCAGGCTAGTGAAAGGAATGTCCCGGCAAGACAGCTAGCTCATCAGCCGCTCCTCAGAATGATCTAAACATCTTCCTTTGGATTTAAATCTGCTCCCTCAGTGGCCAGACACATAAAGCAAAAGATGAGAGAAAGAGAGCCGACAAGAGCACTTGGGTGCCAAGAACTAGAAGGAAGGGAGGGGGCTGGAGGGCTGCACTGGGATTGCTGAGTGAGCTCCCACCAGACCCCAGCTTCCTCCTGGCTGCTCTGCACCTCTCACCCCTTCCTCCATGGCTAAGCTGTCCGGAAATGAGGAGAAAGTTTGAGAGCCTACCTTAGAACAAACTCAGGAGGCCTCCTCCTCCTGGTTCCCACTGAGCCTCCCTCAGACTAGCGTCGTAGGGGGCCGGCCACAGTCTGGTTTTCTCTTCTGTCCCATTTGCTCCACACGCTTCATTACCACAGTTGTGGGGAGCAGAACCTGGGCCCTGCAGAGCTTGGGTCCCTCACTGTCACCAGCCCTCAACAGGCCAGCTAAACAGACATGTAGCACCGAAAAGCAAGAGAGGGAGTTATTCTAAATGTTCACATTGGGAAGAGGAGCAAATAAAAGGTCCAATAGGCTCCCCACCCCATGTTTCTCTCTTGGGGTCCTGACTGGAGATTTAGTTGTAAAAAGAGACAGGGAGAATGCAAACCCAGCAATCTTGGTCACCATGGTCACTGTGGTCCTGCCCATCACTGACCCTCAGCTTCAGTCTCTCCTACAAGGTGATCTGACAAGCTGTCAGGACTCTGTGAAGTCTTTCTGGGGAGACGTGCTCCCCCTCCAACTAGTGCCGGGCTTCAGTCTCCGGGAAACTCCCATCGTGGGGTAAAAGGTTTGAACTGTGACTGCCAAAGAGAGAAGCGAGTGTCACTCTAGAATAGAAGCTGTGCGTGTGTGTGTGTGTGTCTGTGTGTCTTTGTGGTGTGTATCTGTGTGTGTGTCTGTGTGTTGTAGAGGACCCGGGTTCGGTCATTAGTACCCATATTGATGGCTCACAACTGCCTGCAACTCCAGCCAAGAACTGTGCTACCTCTGACACCTGTACTCTTTCAGGTCAGGGCAGTTACAGCTCCAGTGAGTGCCTACCTACTGTGTGCCAGGCTTCCAGACAGTGAGTGCCTACCTACTGTGTGCTGGGCTCTCAGACAGTGAGTGTCTACCTACTGTGTGCCTGGCTTCCAGACAGTGAGTGACCTGTTCTATGAGGCAAATGGTGACATGTGTTGGGACTGTTTCTGTGGAAGAGCAGGGACAATCTCAGCAGCAGAGTGTAGCACCTCTGGCTGCCCAGTCTCTCCAACCTACCTGGACAGCCCAAGCGTGTTTAAAGGTGCCACCCACTGTCAGCTAGATCTTCCTTGGGGACATGAGGTGACTATTCCGATACCTATGCAGGGTTCCTTGCCTTCTCTGGTAACATGTCTGTGGAGCCAATCCTCCCCTCAGTGGGTTAGGCTGGAAGAGGAAATTGCAGCTAAGCGTTTAATTCCCTTTTAATGTTTACATTATTAACACCGGCATTACAGAACGATATTTTTACTTTCACACGATTTAAACATGCAATTCGATGTCTAGATTACCGGGATCATTACAACTTGGAACCGGAAGCTGCATCCCTGCTCACAGCTCTCCTCCCTTGCTAATGCCTGGTTTCTATAAAGAGCGATTGGGGTTCCCCAAATACCCATTCCAGAAGGCTGGGGAGGAGTGGCCCAGTGGGGCTTTCCACTGAGCCACGAAGCTGCATCGGCTGTGAAATGACTTACAGGCAGCAGGTGGGTGTTAAAATGGTCATCAACTCCCCACGAGGCCAGCACCACTGAGCTACATTCCAGGCAGTGCCCATGAATGTGCCCAGAATGGCTCTGGGTGATCGACAAGCTACTGAGCCCAGAATCTAGCTCAAACCACCCACAGAGAGAAAGGGAAAGGGCTCTAGCTAAGACAAGGTCAAGGGGGCCCTGGGGGCCCTTGGAACAGGATCTATAAGAGCCCCTGCCAGGTACATAGCCTAAGCCTGTGGCTTACAGTTACACCTCTGCAAAGGTGGAGGGGTTCAAATCTGTACTCTGCCACTCCCCAGCTGCTGTCCCTGGCCAGTCTTAGCCTCTCCGTGCCTCAGTTTCCACCCCTGGAAAAACGAGGTAATAGTGGCACTTGAACCATCATGGAGACTAGAAGTTTAATCTGTGGCAGTGTTTGATGCATAGACTGGAGAGGGCAGGGCTACATTAATTTATCATGTATTCCCATTTTCTCTATTTATGTTGAGTTTATTTGTCGATTAATTTACTTATTTTGAGACAGGATAGCACTATGTAGCTAGTTGTGGCTGGCCTGGAATGTACTATGTGGACCAGACTGGCCTTGAACTCACAGAGATCAGCAGCCTGCCTCTGCCTCCCAAAAGCCTGGAATTACAGGTGGAAGCCACCAGGCTCAGTTTATATGGTGTTGAAGATGGAACCCAGGGGCTCATATGTGGTAGGTGAGCGTCCTATCCACTTAGCTGCACCCCGGTGCTCTTTGTTTGTTTAGTTATTGGCCCATGCTGATCTCAGACAAACCGTGTAGCTAAGATTGGCTCTGAGCCCCCGACTCTCCCGGCTCACTCTTCCCAGTCTGGGGATCAACCAATATTTCTTGCTTTTAAGATGAAGAGACTTGAGCTCAGGGCTGAGGTGTAGCTCAGTTAGCAGAGCGCGTGGCTAGCATGCAGGAGGTGCTGGTTCGATGTGCAGAATCAAATAAATCAAACCTGGTGGCACTGCTGTAATCCCGGCACCGAGGAGGGGAGCCAAGAGAATCACAATGTCATGACTTCCAGGCCAGCCTGGGCTGCACGAGATCCTGCCTCAGAACAAGAAACAAAGAAAGAGGGGCCTCTGGAATGGTGGGCAAAGACACTTGCAGCCAAGCCCAAGGAACTGCGTTTGATCTCCAGAACCCATGAGGTGGGAGGAGAAAACTGACGCCCACTAGAAGGGCTCTGACTTCAATCTGTGTCCCCTACAAAGCAACCAAGGAAAAAGGGAAGCTGAGGCTCCAAGCAATGAAAACCACAAAACACGCAAGCCTGGTTGCTGCCCAAGGTCTCTGCTGCCCCTCTGCCCAGCAGCCTGCCTTGACCATCCTCAGGTGGTGTTCCCTGGCGTGACTCAGGTCTATACCAACAACAACCCCTCAGGGACTACCCCTCCCAACAATGCCCATTCCATACCCATCATGGCAGGGAGCATGGTGGCACACAGGGAGGCATGGTGCTGGAGGAGCAACTGAGAGTCTACATCCTGAGACTAGGCCTGGCTTGGGCTTTCAAAACCTCCAACAAGGCCACGCCTCCTAACACTTACAATCCTTTCAAACAGTTCCAGGCCCTGGTGACTAAATATTCAAAAATACGAACCATTTTTATTGTGGGGACCATTCTTATTCAAACCACTGCACCCATCTTGCTAAGTTAGTACAGAAAGAGCGCTGTTGTCACCGTGGTCCTAGGTTTGCTTGACGGCTGCCTGTCTCCTCACATGGTATGCAATGCACAGGGAGGGGCCTTCAGCTGTCCCCTGCGGTCCGTGTAGTGTGACCTGTGCCGTCACCAACACCACGCTTCTGCATTTGCTTGATATTCTGCTGTTACTGTTCTTTTTTTTATCTTAGTTTTCCTGGACAGGGTTTCTCTGTGTAACAGCCCTGGCTGTCCTGGAACTCACTCTGTAGACCAGGCTGACCTTGAACTCAAACATCTGCCTACTTGCTGCACTTTGGAGGCGAGGCAGAGCAGAAGGTTCTCAAATCTGAGGCCAGCCTGGTGTATTTAGCAAAGACATGGGGATTGGGGAGATAGAGCCCCGCTGGTGGTACACACCTTTAATCCTAGCACTCTGGAGGCAGAGGCAGACAATCTCTGTTAGTTCAAAGCCAACTGAGTCTATATAGCAATTTCTAGGACAGCCGAGGCTACACTGAGAGAGACCCTTTCTCAACTCCCACCTCTCGACCCCCCAAAAACAAAAAAACAAAACCAAAAAAACCCCACAGAGAATTGGATTTGATTCCCCAGCACTCACAGGGGAGCTCACAACCATCTGCAACTCCACCAGGTCCACATGTGGTGCAGAGATATTCAGGCATCCAGGACACCCATACTGACATGTTGAGAATACCCTGGTAAGGTCAAAATGAAAACATGGAAGAAAGGGATGGTTCCATATAGGAGGAAGGTTCGCACTGTCTTAGTGTGCAGTCTCTGATGTTCTCACGACAAAATCTCCTGATAATGCTCTTCCCATGTTCCCCATCGTTAAGCAGAGCTTGGCTGTGTTAGGCGGCACTGTGGAGCACACAGAAAGAAATATTACCAACTGCGGAGGGAAATGGGGGAGGAAGAGCAGGGGCGGCTTGGCAGTGACAGGAGGCAAGCCTTGGGCGGAAGTGGGAAGGAGGCAGAGGGAGGGGGTTGATCTGAACGGATCGGTGGGTGGTTTAAACAGAGAACAGTTTTCCAGAGCTCCAGGGGTGAGGTTCAGAGTGAGGAGTTATTGAAAGAGAACTCACCTTAGCTGGGGCGCTATGCCAAGCTGAGGTGCTAGGTGGCTCAGCCCCCAGAAAAGTTCCCTTATCACCTGATGTGGGAGTGTCATATATCAATCTGTTGATTTCATTGGCTGAGCAATAAAAGAAACTGCTTGGCTGGCCCTCAGCTTAGAACATAGATGGGAGGAGTAAACAGAATAGAATTCTGGGCGGAAGAGGAAGTGAGGTCAGACTCTGCTCTGCTCCCGGAGACTCAACAGCTCTGCTCTCTGGAGCAGAGACACCATGATGGACGGAGGCTAGAATCTTCCCGATAAGCGCACCTTGGGGTGCTTACACACATCATTAGAAATGGGCTAGTCCAGGTGCGAGAATTAGCCTGTAAGGGCTAGAGTTCACGGGCCAAGCAGTTCTTAAATGAACACAGTTTGTGTGTTGTTATTTCGGGCATGAGCTAGCCAAGCGGCCGGGGTGTTGGGGACGCAGCCCCGCCGCTCCATATTTCAACAATCACCCCATCAGGTTCCCATTCCTGCCATAGCTTCACCTTAGTACTCTGGCTAGCCACAAAGGATGGCTTTATTGAGGTCAAAGGGCAAAGTTGGTCCATTTACTCCTGGGTTCCAGGCACTGGGGGGGGGGGCTAGAAACCACAAGGCCCACCCCAGGTAGGACGTTGAAGAGCACTTGGCTGGCTCAGCTGACCTGGGAGGCAGGGGTAGGGAGGCCTTCTGTCTCAGGCAGTAGGAAGAGTAACTTGACGGCAGTGAATGGTCTCTCGCTTCACTTGAGGTACAGGTTGAGAAAGGCCAGGAAGCCAGGGGAGTTTGAGCTGCTCTGCCTCCTTCTGTGGGTTCCCTTCCTCTACCTGCCGCATACACAGCCCTCCTATGTTGTTCCCTTTGTTGTGAACGCTGAGAGGTCTCAGGGTCTGACAGATCTAGGTTGGGATGTGGTTTTGTTCATTTATTCAGTCAGTCACTCCATAAACACTAATGTCTAGGAGCCAAGTGCAAAGCAAAATATGTGAAATTCCTTGTTAAAAGTATGAAGAGAAGACAGGTGGTGGTGGAGCATGTCTTTAATCCCAGCACTCATGAGGCAGAGGCAGACAGATCTCTGTGAGTTCGAGACCAGCCTGGTCTACAGAGTGAGTTCCAGGACAGCCATGGGTACACAGAGAAACCCTGTCTTAAAAAGAAAACCATACACACATACATACACTACACACACACACACACACACACACACACACACACACACACACACACGAGGGAGGGAGTAGGCCAACAAGATGGCTCACCAGGTAAAGGCACTTCACTGAAGGTATACATGCCTACAATCCTGGGAGGCTGAGGCTGGAGGATCTCAAAGTCAAGGCCAACCTGGATCACGTAGCCAGCACCCTGTTGCTTAGATGGTATAATTGGGATTGAAGAGATGACTCTGCTGGAGGAGGTCGCTAGTTTGTTCCCAGCCACCCAGAACAGAAACAATCACACAGGAACTGTATTAATTAAATCACTGCTTGGCCCATTAGCTCTAGCTTCTTATTGGCTAACTCTTACATATTAATTTAAGCCATATCCATTAATCTGTGTATTCCATGAGGCTGTGGCTTACCAGGTAAAGTTTCTAGCATTTGTCTCTGGTGGTGGCTCCATGGCTTCTCTTGACTCTGCCCTTCTTTCTCCCAGCATTCAGTCCAGTCCTTCCCACCTAGCCCTGCTCTGCTATAGGCTCAAAGCAGTTCTTTATTCATTAATGGTAATAGCAGCATACAGGTGAAAACCCCACATCCTGACTCAGTGGTTAAGGGCATTTGCTACTCTTGGAGAGAATCAGGTCCGGGTCCCAAAACCAACACATAGAAGGGATGCACAGCCATACATACAGGTAAACACTCACACGTATAAAAGTAAAATAAAGAAAATACACTTTAAAAAATCTTTTTTTTTTTTTTTTTTTACGTTTTCCAGGCTGAAGCAACCTTTCTGGCACTATGCAGGAGATCTATGCATGAAGCGAGGGTTACTTTGGAGAGGCTGAAGAGAGAGCAATGGTAGGTGAAAAACTGTAACAGAGATGTAAGTGGCAGAGACACGCACGGGGCAAAGTGTGGGAGCAGGGCAGGCATGTGTGGATGTCCCGTGCCTGCCAGAGGTGAAGTTCAAACACGTCTTCATCCGGTAACAACCAGTATTTACATGCAAATGTTTCCCTTATGCAAAACAGCAGAGGTCTCGAGGGAAGCTTTTTTGGTCCCGAGCTTGTAAACTCATTGAGAAGCAAAGCTGTCCCCAGGGTACACTGAGTTTGCTTTGCCGCTGGGAGCTGGGCGAGTTCCAGGACGAAGACCGAAGAGCTCAAGGCTCGCACTCACAGGTGAGCAGCGCCCCTGCCTGGAGGGCAGCAAGCCGAAGGCGAAACTGCGCATGTCCGCCGGGGGGGGGGGGGAGAAAGCCAGCGCGCCTTACTGCGCACGCGCCGCCCGCGGCCCCAACTCCTCCCCCGGGGGCGGGGCAAGCGGGGCCCAAGATGGCCGCTCTCCGCTACCGTCGTTTCCTTAAGCTCTGTGAGGAATGGCCAGTGGACGAGACCAAACGGGGCCGGGACTTGGGCGCTTACCTGCGGCAGCGGGTAGCACAGGCCTTTCGGGAGGGAGAGAACACCCAGGTGACCGGCGGGAGGGAGGTTGGAGGTGTCGGAGCGGGGTGGGGGCGGCGGGGGAATCTGCGCATGCGTCGGCCCCGTGACCGGCTGCACGTGCGAGGTGCCCATGTACCAGCTATCTGCGGAGTGCGACGCTTGCGGCTCCGTTTTCTCCTTTGTCTGCACCGTACAGTGGCCGGCGAAGCTCCCCTGAGGTCCATATGCCACCAAAGAATCAAATTCTAAGGCGGGGTTGGTTCTTCCGTAACCCTGTTAATGTGTTTGCCAGCCGAGCCTGCCCCCCAAGAACCCCAGCAGGACTCCGGCCAAACCGTTCTGCCACTCGCCCCCGTAAAACTGCAGGAGCTTTGGGCCTTCCACTCAAGTCCCTCGTGGGAGTAGTAGGCCTCCCCAGTGTAGGTTCCCTTATCAAGCACAGTCGTGTGCCACAAACGTAGTAAGGTTCCATGGAGACCGCAGTGAATTAAACAGGGTCTTGCCCCATGTGGCTGTCTTTTGTAAGATTTATTTATTTATTACATGTACAGCTTTCTGCCTGCATGTATTCCTTCCCGCCAGAAGAAGGCGCCAGATCTCATTACAGATGACTGTGAGCCACCATGTGGTTGCTGGGAATTGTACTCAGGACCTGTGGAAGAGCAACCGTTGCTCTTAACCGCTGAGTCTTCTCTCCAGCCCTGCCCCTCGTGACTTTGAGTGGACAGGACACCAGGAACAAGTAGAAACATAAGACAGTCCCGATCGTAGTAAATGTCACATTGTAGTGTTCCTGGGGCATAGGTGAGGCTCAAGGCATGAAGACAGCCAACACCCCGCATTGGGAAGGGCGTCCGGACACTGCCTAGGAAGTCAGACTGGCGCTGTAGAAGAAAGAAAACTAGCCAGAATGAAGGGCAGTGGAGGTGTGTCCACGACCACTCACTGAAGGGGGAACAGGAGCCGGGCACCATACAGTGTTTTTGTTTTAAATGTGTTCAGGTGTTTTACCTACCTGTGTGTCTGTGCACCATGTTGCTGCAGTGCCAACGGAGACCAGAAGAGGGCGGTGGATCCCCTGGAACTGGTTTCTGATGGTTGTGAGCCACCACGTGGATATTAGGAATTGAACCTGGGTTTCTTTTTTATCCGCTCAGCCACCTTTCCAGTCCTCCCATTCAGTCTTAAAGGCTCTGATGAGGAGTCGGATCTTACTGTAAGGCCTGTGAGAAACCACTGGGGGCGTTTAGTCAGGGGTCTGACATGGCCTCATTTTAAAAGGTTATAGAGGGTTATAGAGGGCAAGAGAAGCGAGGAGCTGCAGAGAAGCCTGCTGTGGTACCCAGGAAGAGATGCTGGTGGTTTGGATAAGGGTGGCTGCACAGGAGATGGAAGTAACTGGAAATAGTTTGTAGCGAGCAAGTCACTCACAGCATGGACATGCTGGATGTGGGGTAAAAGGGAAGAGGAACCGAGGACGGCACCTAGAGTCTCCCCCTTTTCTTTTTTTGGTGTGAGCAGCTGGGTGCCATTTACTCAAATGGGAAAGACGAGATGAGGAACAGGTGGGGTGTGGGAAGAACATCGCACGTTTGATGGTAGATGCTGTAAGCTTGCGATGCCAAGTAGACTGGCTTCCAAGTGGAAATGTCAGGCAGGAGGTTATGTGAGCGTGGGGCTTATGCAAGAGGTCAGAGGTGCCAAGTGAGGTGCCCAGCACACATACTGGCCACATAAACGACCTGTGAAGCCGGACCGTGACCTGCCAAAGCAGGAACCGGGGACACTGCAGCTCATTCCAGTCTAGCTGAACCCGCCCACCTCAGTGAGATGGCGCCACTGCAACCTCTGACAAGATTGCTGTTTGGAACGTCTGGCCCAGGACTTCTGGGAGGCAGGAGAGGTCGCTGTATGCACAGGATCCTCAGAGCCTAGTGGTCTGCACTGCCCCATATCATGCGGATCTCAGGGCAGGTCTGTGGGCTTTCTAGGGCTGCGCTGCGCTGTGCTCTAACTTACAGTACGAGCTTCCTGAGACCAGAGGTGCAGCCCCACCCCCACTCATCCACCAAGTCCGTGTGGTTCTTGCTCACGAAAGCGTCCGGTGAGCATCTGAATGAACATGTGATTGGCTGTGGTTTGTGAGGCTGGTCATCTGCAGTCCGGTGGCATGTGTAGAAGTCCCTGGAAGAAGCGCCAGGGTGAGAGGGCCGACGCTCGTGACAGACTCTGTGGTTTGACTTTCTGTTGTTTGTGGAGTCCCAGGCCCTGCTGCCCCAGGTGAGACCTGCTCAGCTCCACGCAGCTTAGAGTTGGACAGCCAGAGGCTGGATGTACAGGGGGAGAGGCTGACCCTCACCTGCTGATTGTTAGCGTAATTCAGCCAGCAGGGCGGGGAGAGTTGTCGTCCTTTGTCCTCTCCTAGGGACAGGTTCTGATGAGCTGAGGCCCACACAGACTTGAGTCATAGCTGCAGATCTATGTCAGGGCTGCGCCAACGGTTCTGCGACACTGATGGATGTGTTCTTGGTAGAGCAAAGTAGGGAGTCATGGGGGCAGTGGACACATTACTCAGGACCTTTGTCGTAGCTCATCCTGATGTCACCTGAAATTGAGCCTGCCTGGGCTTAGTAAATCTTGGTGATAATCTTTGGAGGGAGCAGCCCTTGGCTGGGACAGCAAACAGTGAGTCAACACCTCCCCCGGATCACTTAAAAAAGACCTTGAGAAAGAAAGGTGGTTCTCAGAGACTCAACAGCAGAAGGTGGGATGAGACCCCGGGGGCGGCTGATTGCTGTGTCCCCCACCTTTCTGCCACTTGTCCAGAAAGTGGAACTGGAGGAAGTAGAGGCTGCTGTGTCGAGCATCCCCTTGACCTTTTGGCTTCCTGTGGTCTAACAAGGGCTATAAAAGGTGCATAGAGCACTTGGCACAGCTCATCTGATTTTATCCTTTGTGCCACCAAGTGAAGTAGCCATTATTGTCCTGATTCTTACAGATATTGAAATCAAATCAGACCACTGATCCAGGTCCCTTGACAGTAAGAGACAAGTGAAAGACAGGCCAGCCACGTGCCCTGGTCTGCGTGGCTCCCAGGTGTTGGCAGGTCCCCCGTTGTCAGTCCTTTGGAGAGACCCCTTGTTAAGTTTTTCTTTGAGCATCAAGACCCTCCTTCCCGCCCATTCATTGTTGGAGCAGAGAATTAAACGCCTCAGGCCCACTTGTCTCCTTTCCCTGATCTACCTCTCCAGTGAAACAAGAAGAAAGGTGGTACTCGGTGGGACGCCAGCGCAGAAAGGCCAGTTAATAATTCTGGCTTCAAACCTGAGCACAAACCCTCTGCCTCTGTGTAAGCCCTTCAGGGCTTCTCTTGGCCCACCCTAAACCCACCAGGAGGGGAGATGGCAGTGGGGAGCCGGAACACAAGGAACACTCTACCACCCTGCCTCCTGTTCCCTTTTGAAGCTCATGGTTGTGGGTCTCCTTTGCTTTGAGTAGTTTCCTTAAAGGAGTTCTCATTCCCTGCAGCACCAAGAGTCTCAGTGTGGGGGCGGAGCAAACAGCTGTGCTGATTGACTGAACTGCAGGCACAGAGCAGGTCTTTTCGGGTGCAGGGTGGCTCAGGCCGGCTCTGGGAAGACTGGAGCTGCTATCGTCTATCTGGCATGGGCTGTGACTGTTGTGTGAAGGGTTAGATGGGGCCAAGGGAAAGATGTCAGGCTTTGCTGATCCTGGCTCCTCCTCGAGGGGAATCCGAGGCCTGATCCTCGACACCTCATTGGGGCAGGCAGCTTGTTACCCAGCCGCCTGGCACAGGGCAGCCACAAAGGGCATCTTGGTTATGTTGGTGTGTATCAGGCTTTAGGGATGTGGCCTAAGGACAGATTGTGCTCTTTGTGACTCAGAGGTGCTACAGAGATGGGTTGTGAGCAGAGCGATCTCCAGGACGGACGGTGAAGTCATTCGTTGTCTTTACTCCCCTCGAGAGTCTGCTCGGAGTGTTTGGGGCAGAGAGTTGCACTGGTGTGCACGCGCGTGTGTGTGTGTGCGCGTGTGTGTGTGTGTGTGTGTGCGCGTGCGCGCGTATGCATGCTTGTGCATGTGCATTCACACACATAATCAGGTGTGGCTGTTCCCTCTCAGGGGTGAATGGCTGCTTCCAAAACCCGCCTGCTGCCTCCTGGGCACTGGTGGGAACTTGGAGCCTTCAGTGCTCGGCAGTCCTTGGTACCCAGGTCCAGCCTGGCTTCCCAGCCTCAACACCCAGCACAGTTGCTGGCTCTGCACCCTACCCTCATGGGCCCTTACTTTGCCTTCAGAGCTTATGTCTTTATTAATCTTTGAGACCTTGGTGACTTTGAACTGCTGTAGTCCACATCAAAAGCCTGAACCCAGCTTGCCAGTGGTTTGGTGGCTCCTGGCCACTGGAGCCCTCTGTCCTGAAACAACTTCTCTCCCCTGCCTCTCTCTGCTCTCCTCCCATCCATGATGTGCTACTCCGGCTTGGACTAACTAGGGACTGTGTCTGCTCTGGCCCTGTGTGGCACTCCGTCCTCACTGCCACACCTGACCTCTTCAGTCTGCAGTGCTGCTCTTCCCTGCTCTGCCGCCCAGCCTCTGCTTCTCCTCTCCACCCCTCAGTCTGCTCCCTAGCAGCGTGCTCTCCGTAGTAGGTGCTCAGGAAATGGCCGTCTAATTGCATTGACAGGAGTGTGCTCCGCGACACATCTT